AATTTTTATATTTTTGATTTTTATTTTTATTTCTCTTACAATTTTACATTTCATGCAAATCATCCTTTTCCTGCTATTCTATCCTTTATGAAATGACAAGTGGAAATTTTTTCGTCAAAAAAAGTTTTTTTTTTTTCTTGATGAAATTCATGACAAATTACTACTTACTATGATAAATTACTTAATAATTTTACCGATTCAGCAAAATATTGCGGTCCGATTACTCTCTATTACAAAGATATGCGCTTTGATTATTTTCATTTAACCTCTCCTCTGTCTGTCATCGCTGTCAACTTTTTTTGTCAAATACCAAAACATTTAGTTTAGCTACCTGATATCGAAATATGTGATACCTGAAAAAAAATTAGCTATCTGAAGTGATTTTTCCTCCATCTGTTGTATACCAATATTACAATGACAGATATGTTTATGTTTTTTTTCTCTTTTTTCTTCTTTTATATTTCGTCCATTTTAATTCGACACTTAGAATCTCAAGGGACAATGGACAACATGGACACAAGGGACAACATTTATGCAAATTGTCAAGCTGATCACTGTCGCAGTTATCCAATGATACCAAAAATAATTAAACAAACGACCCGCAAACTTTAAGTTGGGGACCAATTCGCGGAAGCCTCAAGTTGAGGAGGAGCAAAAAAATCCTGAGTTGCGGCTGAATTCGTGAAAATGCCAAGTTAGCGACCAATTCGCGAAGGTCCCAGGTTGGGGGTCAATTCGTGAATGTCTCAGGTTGGAGATCAACTGACAGAAAACAAAAACTCTGGGTTGGGGATGAATTCGCGAGAATCCTAGGTTGGGAGAAATCAATTCGGGGGGATCTCAGGTTGGGGTCAATTCGCGGAAACCCTAGGTTGGGGACAATTCACGAAAATCTTGGGTTGGAGGAACTATTTATGGAAATCCCAGGTTAAGAAACGAATTGAGAAAAATTGGAGCTGATTTGCAGGGTTAATTTTCTCGCAAATTGGATCCGATCTGTCAAATTGCGAAAATCCTAGGTTTGGGGACAATTCGCGGAAATCATAGTTTGAGAACTGTTCGCGAAAATCGGTCCACCATACCTTTCGTCGTTCCTTGTAATCCTCCAAATAATCGACAAGGGAAAGTTCTTCACTTCCTTGCTATAAATAATTAAGAATGATAAAAAGAAACATTTTAATAGCTGAAAAAAAAAACTCGAACTGACAATATTAAAAAAAAAATTTGTTTGAATCATTTTTTAAATTACATTTAATTCTGTCTGAATTGAATTTCAATTTGTGCTTTTGGTTCAATGTGTGGTTTACTCGAAAATCATTAAGTGAGAGATCAGGATCGATCACGAGTTATATCGAGAAATCCCAAAACATTGGTATTTGCTCTTCATCATCTTGTTGATTTTATATTTTCTTCCTAATGATCGAATGATCATATTTAGTATTTAAATAACTGCCCTAAAAAAACCTAATAAATAGCATTTCCTATTTTTAGTTTAAAGAATTTTAATTTCGATTCATAAATTGAAAAATAAACACTTTGCATCCATTCGCTTTTCAGATATTCTGTTGGTGACAATCGAATTCTGGAAATTCAAATATGTGATAATACTAACTGATAGAAGGTTGATACTTTTCGCTCACTAATTAGATGTTAATTCTAATCAAATCCTGAGTTTTATTCTTTAGACTTAATTTTTTAAAGTTTAGAACTGTAATATTAACAAATATTCATATTCTCTTCTATAAAAGAATCCTAAATTCAACAATTCTTTTTCAATCAGACATTTCTCAATCTATCAATTCTATCTTTTCTTCCTTTCTCTCTCAATTCTCTCTTCTGTTATTTTTGCTTTCAAACATCAAATATAATAATATTAATCCATTTTGAATAGTCGAAATTACAAAAAATTAAAATAAGTTAAAATTAGAAATAAAAAAAGTTAAATTAAAAAAAAGACTTAATGGATAGTGATTTAAATAAAATGATATCATGAAAGTTTATATGAAAAGGATACAAATGAAAATTAAATCAAAAATATTATTAGGAAATGAAGGAGTCACTTCTCTCGATGAAGTATTACTGTAAATTTCGAATTTTTGAGTTCTAACCACGAGCAATGAATTCGATAAAACAATTTATTAGCTGATGAACAATAATTAATCCTCGGAATGAATATTGGTTAACGAACGATACAGTAATAGACAGACAAAGGACTGTCACAATGGTTACTTTGTCTATTACATCATACATGACAGCTAATATAAACGAACAATAAGGGGAGAAGATGGAGCAGAAAGATTTAAATATTACAAATCAATATGAATCACATTCTACATTTTACAAAATTACTTTAAATTTCTCGACCTATACATCTTCAAAGAATGCAATAAATTCATTATCATGTTGTTGACCTTTCCATGTGATAGTTTCAATACGATGTTTCTTGCTCTTTTCTCTTTACTTACTTTGTACTCTTTTATTCTGATCAACTTTCACATTCCATAAATAATTTCAGGTTCGTTGATGAGTACAATTTCATTTATTCTCGACATTGTTCACTCTCTTAAATTAATTACATATTCATTCTTCCCAGAAAACCATCGAGAATTTTTGGTAAGTTCAATCAATATTTGGAAGTTTTTTTTTTTTTCCTGGGATTTAATTCATAGGGAATGATGAATTCATCATACTTTTTATTGTCGATAATCGATATATAATTAACAGAGTATTTGATGAAATGAATAATTTATGAGATGTATCCTTATGCAATCGTTGAAATTCATATAAATTAATGGTCACGTGAAAATTCATAGAAGTTAGTGGTCACATGAAAATTCATATAAGTCAGTGGTCATTCATATAAGTTAATGGTCACATGTTGAAGATATTTCTTACTTCTGTTTTTAAAGTAATCAATCATTTTTCTTATAACAACTTCCTATCAATAGCTTCTCTCATTAATATCTTTATTAATCCGATCATTCTTTCAAAAATCTCTTCCATTATATGGGACATTTTTGGTATTGTATTTCTTCATATCGTTCCATTCTTAGCTTAATATTTCAGATACATTAGCATAACTATCAGATAACTAAAGATTCCTTATAAAGGAATCATTTATGTATGAAATATTTTGAAAACAATTCATAACATTTTTATTTTTCAGCTTTCCTGATACTGTAATCATAGTTAACATCTTTGACAACATTTCAACAATTGTATGTAAGTTTTGATTAACAGATTGAAAAAAAAAATTTACAACAAAAAGCTTTAATTGCAACATTTAAGCATTACAATTAAGATTAGTAAAAAAATTGTAAAGGTTAAATTTAAATAGATGATTCATCATTTTAGATATCGAAATATTTATTTCATTATTTTTGTATAACAATAGAAACAATTCATGACATTTTTTCAATTTTACCAATACTGTAATTGTATTTAGCCATCCCAGACATTATTAATAATTGTCTTTCTGGTAATCAATACGTAGTGCTAAATTGTACCTCTTGACCTTTGCAACAGAAACATAATTTCCTCGGAAATGGGCAATTCCTTATCATATGCCCTTTTTTAGGCAATTGAAACACACGTCAATTTCTCTCAAACACTCTCTTTACTTTGATATACGAAGGGTAGGTCTGGCATTCGTCGTCGTCCCAATCGTCCATATTACAAAAGGTGTACGGTCTTCTCGATTTGCTATTTTTGAAGTTTTGAAGATTTTTGTCAAAATTTAGGATTACTTGGTTTGAGCTGCTTGATTACTGCTAACGCAGAAGTTTCTCGTTGCGTGCTCGGATTGGAATTAAACTCAACTAATTTTTGATACCTGAGAAAATGTCCTCTAATTATTTGTTCATTTCTATTGACTAATTTATTTAAGGAATTGTCTAAGTTTTGTGATCAACTGTAGTTCGTTATTCTTCTTTTGTTGACATATTTTATTCAATATCCATCCGAGCATTTTAGTTTCTGCCGTGGTTTCGATACGTTCTAGGGTATGTTCTAGGTTTTTTCCTATCGTTTCTAGTTGCCTAAATACTCTTTCGATTACCTTGGCAGTTGGCTAATATTCGATAATTCTTGTTCTGGCTTTATTACCTTGGCAGTTGGCTAATATTCGATAATTCTTGTTCTGGCTTCATATTTTTGACGTAGTTCCTTCCTTTTCAGGTTTTGATCGAATGGGATTAGGTCTATTCTTCCCATTTCATCGAGGAGTTTTTCCAATTTTGCCTTTGCTGATAGCACATTTGTGACTATACTGGGGACATTACCTGACCTCGGGCACCAAAAAAGGACACAAATGAAAATTGGACCGATTATGCAGATTAACGTGTCTGTCCATTATTCCATTATCTTTGACCTTAATTGCTTTTTGAGCCTCTCCATTTAATTTTCCATTGGCACCATAAGAATAACCGGATGGAATTCGACCTTTATCCCATTTATCATTTTTCAAATTTCGTTGCAAGGACTGACTAGATTTAACAATTTCGCTTGTTTGCCGCCATTTTTTTAACATTTCGGTGAGTTTGAAGTTCTGCTTAGTGAGAGGTTGGTAATTAATGAGTGGAAGTGATATGGAAGTGAGGGCTTATCTACTTTGTAGTGTCATTTGTAGTTATCAGTGGGTGTGACTTGTCTTTTATCGCTTTCCCTCCTTGAAATCTTGTTTTTTTCTCTTTACCTTCCCTTACCCTCTGTTATCTTTATAAGAAGAAATTACAAGTATTTCTCAAGCAAATCTGTTCTTCCCATCCCATTATTTCTGTCATTCACAGTAACACTTGTTTATTCTTACTAATCTTGTTTCTGCTGGCTTTGCCTTTTTGGTTGTATTGTCTGCGGTTTTAATTTCCGAACTTTCTCTATCATTCAGTCGTCAAAAATGTTTCGAATTTGTTGGCTATTCATTAAAGGCAGTTTAGAATGACGAGAATTATGATTACTGATAGATGTGTGATTTTTATAGATATCACAGAAGACAGTTGCAAGATGCTTAATGGTTTGACTAGTCAATCAATTGATTAAACATCACCGATCATTAAACAAAAATTGGTTAAGGACTGATACTGTTTTATAACAGCGAGTGGACGGCTTTATTTGGCCATCCGTTTATACCACCGATAAATAACTTAGCCATTCTTCGCATAATAAAATGTTATGATGGAGATTTAGGATAGAGTAGTTTTCTAGTTTTGCTATTCTTGTTGAAGAAGAGAATATGGCAGAGTCGTGGATTCAGATTATATTTTAGAAATGAATGATTTTCCTATTTTCGAAATGAGTGATTTTCCTTCCCGTTTTTTTGAATACTTGTAGATTTTTTCAAAATTTTCTGGCGTGTGAAATAATTAGCGATCCATTTGCAGTCCTTTCTTGGATCCCACTGGGTCGACGAAAATGAGTAACGACACGAAATATTTTGTTCGTTTACGGATCGGGCATAAGTAAGTTTGTCATTAAAATTAAAAGTTCTCATGAGGTTTTCCATAAAATTAAGTCTCAAAAAGATTTAGATAAAAGCTAGATGCTACCGGAAATATTATTTTAATCATTCGCCTGTAAAAATTGATGACACTGGTGTAAAAATTTCTGTTTCATTTACTTTTAGTTTTGAGTCGTGCAATTGTCATCTCCAGTGTACCATTAATAAACACTGTTTATCACTAATGAACACTGTTTGGAAAAAATGAGTTTAAATGACTGAAATAGAGGATGGATCAAGTGGATGTTAAATGAAGAACAGATGCTGTTCATCATTTAATATCCGTTTGGTCCACTATTTGGGAATGTTGCCTAATTTCTTCACTGAAAATACCTTCAGATCTGAAATGCTTGATCGTCCAACATCGACTGGCATGACTCATCGATGGACGGTATTTGTACACTCTTTCAGTGGAATGCCATTTACGGATCGCAGTTTTATTTCAAAGGTTGAGTTTTGTTGCTACATAGGAATTTTTTACATATTTTATATGGCGGCACTGCAATCTTTAAAAAAAAGGTTTTATGGTCTACATCGAGAGATAACATTTTTAAACTAGGAAGAAAAGATTTGTTTTGGAAACTTTTAGAAACTCAGGGATTCTTAAGACACAAAAGTTTCGACACAATAGAATACCACCGTGGAAATTTATGTTCGTTAATCACATTTTAGAAATTGAAGTACCTAGAAATTTCTAGTTGAAAACGTCATCAAAAGTCATTGGTGGTCTTTTGATGTTTCATCGAGGCCTTAGAAATAATCAATATTTATAGGTTATCTTTGAATTGCATCCCGATTTTTCATCTCCTCGACGAGTTGTAAAAGAACCTCCTTTTGAAGTTAGCGAATTGGGTTATGGTGGATTTTCGATTCCAATTCACATCACTTTTACAGGCGCAAGCAAAGTCTATAAGCTGACATATGACATGAATCTTGTATTAGGTATGTATGATTTGTCGGTTTTAGTTATTCTGAAAAATTAGATCAAAGTTTTGGGTAAACTAGATTACTTCATTTCGAGCAATTATATCAGTTTAAATTCTGAATAAAATTTCTCTAAAATACACCTTTACAGAGAAATACAATGAACAGTTCATTACGCAGACCATCGAAATGAAACAGTCATCGTCATCATTCCGAGAACTGATTTTGAAATATGGTGGGGTTAAGAAGGATTCCGATAAACGAAAAGAAAAGCATCGATTACGGAAAGGAACAATAAGTTCATCAGAGGAACCGGCTCCGAAGAGGGAAAAAGAAAAAGAGAACGGCCGATCTGGAAGCAATCCACCCTTAAGTAAATTAAAAATTCCGCGCGCTCTTGTTGATGCCGAGAAAAGGCAAAAGAATTCTAGAGTGAGTTTTTTAATTTGTTGTTAGAATTCAGTTCGGGGGCAAACACTGTTGCCCTCATTCTGCTTCTTTAATTTCTAATTAAGTTGTGGAAGAACACGTTTTTACGAAATGACTAAAGTTTCTCCACAACAGTATAACAGAAGGGATTCTAAGGGGTAATACTTAAGCGAAATATTTTCGGTTCTTTTATTTTTAAAGCAATTTAAAATTGGCTCTTATGAAATATTTTCTTCGGTTTTCACAAACGCAGAATACCGAAAATGTCTTTAGAGGGTTGGCATAACCTCTAAAGAGGCCTGACAAGCCGTCATATGAAATGATTATTCTTTTAGTCCGCTTCATCTGAAAATATCGCAAATATTTCTAAATCAGTAGTTCCCGCAGAGACCAAAATGTCATCGAATAATGAAACAAAAACAGCTGTCCTATCAGGAGTGAAACAAATAGAAACAATAAGTTCGGAACCGTCAACATCAACCGAATCAAATTGTTCAGATTCGGAAACTTCGAAAACCACGACATTCAGTGCAGAAAGCACCATTTCGATGACTCCAACGTTTGAAAACGACTGCACGGTCTTACTTTTATATACAAAAATTTATAATGGAAATAAATTACAACCGCTATAGTGACTTAATAACAGAACAATTGCCCGTCAAAAACTAGCTCTAATTGATTATTGTCCATGGTTTTTTTAGTTTTTGTATCCTCTGGAGCTTTTATAGGCTAATTCGATGAGTAGGAAATACGATGAAAAATGAGGTCTAGATTTCTTACGGCATTAGACAAAAAATTTTTTTAACGGAAGCAAGAAATATTTCATCTCTTGCTCAGTGGAACGTATAAATGAGATTGCTGTTCGTATTTTATATATAGGCATCATCATTTAGCCTAGTGAATGGTCACACTAATTTAGCTTTACATCCTCTTCTTCCTAGTTCAAATGATCGTCTTAGCTTCACTCCTATAATTCCAATTTTAATGAATTTAACTTCCTAGTTTCAATATTTTTCGGTATAAAAATTGTAAATTGTACCCAGAAGAATAAATTGTACCCAGAAGAAGAAAGCTAAGAATGAACATTTGTGATAATTTTTGAATTGAAAATTTACAGAATATTTGATGTTTTGATTAAGCTTTTCAGATAGAGAAACAGTATGGTTTTGAATTTCTGGTTCGGCTGCAGAAGAAGCTGATGACAATAAAAGATCCAGATAAAATGTTAGCAGTTGTAAATACTCTTTTAACGCCTACATCATCCAGTACCAGTTTGCCATCAGGTTTGTTGTTTACCGACAACAATCTGTTGTCATTCGATATTTGCAAGTTGAATTCATCTATTATTAGTAAATTAGATGAAATTTGTTTTGGAAATACCGCTTAAATGTATGCTATAGTTAGAAATTCAAATCAAGTGTTTTAAAATTAAGGTTGAAATTAAACTTAATCAAAGAAAATTCTTTTTCGAGAGAAGTACCATTGCATTCTTATTCCTGCAGCCTTGTATAATTTTAAAACCTTATGACTGTTGTATGATGGTCTTATGATTCAATTATTTTCTATCTCTTTCATTTATCCCCAAATACATAATCTTTAGTATCTTTTCATATCTTTTTGACATGCTTTTGTACAATATTTTGTTCAGTTATGTAAGATTTTGTTTCTGTTTTACGAACTTTCATGCATTTGCGTCAATTATCATATCATCCTAGCGTCCTTTTTCTTTCCATCTATTTGCATTTTTATTTCTTTTTATTGTAGTTTTAACTCTAGTATAGTTGTCATTGTCACGCTTTGTGATTGATTATTTAATAGTAAATGATGGTTGGGTAGTTTTATTTGCTTTAGAATTCTCAGTTTCCAATGTATTTTGATGGCTTATGATAGTCTCAGTTGAGTTCCAGTCATTTATTCGTGACTGAAGCTGTCCAGACACCTAGTCAGTGCACTTCCCTTCCGGCATCGTACAAGTGCAGACGAACACGATGAATATAGTCCTCAGTCCTTGTCTCTGCTCCAGTGGCTCCAGGAATATGATCTTTTTGCTTCAGTAATAGTAATGAATGGGAATTTAACTTTTGGATTTTTGAACTCGTCTGTTGCTCCAATTTCTAGCGAACAGAAAAAAAACATAAGTCCTTGTATCGCATTTGTAAGATATGCACTGTTGCCATATTTATATATGTACATAATGTATACTTTTAATAATGAAATGTGATATTTTTATATATGCCGATTATTTTATGTTTTTATTAGTTGATTTTTTGTAAACATGTTTCAAAAATATGTAATCTTTTCGGTAATACGAAAACGAAATCAATTTCGAAGTAAGATATTTTAGAATTCATTTTGGGCTAGGGTTCTCAATCAAATAATAGGAGTTAAGGTAAGAGAAAATGTTAAGGTAAGAAAGAGCGGGACAAGGTGCATGATATAAAAAAAGGTTATTGGAGGAAAAATACTTTTAGATTTCAATCTTCGCAACTTATTTACTTAGAAGAATAAATAAAAAGTTGAAAATTAATGAGCTTATCATCACCTCATTCCATTTCATTGATCCAGTGTTTGACTGATTAATTTAAACAAGTGGAATCTAAAAGAATCTTGAGGTAGAAATATCAAGTGACTGTTGGTATGTTACATGAGACAGGATTATTTGTTACATTTAATTAAGCAATTGCTACATTAGAAGTAAAAGTGTTTGCTGATTTGTTTTTATTGCGATTACTTCAATCTTCAGTCTCTTACCTTTTCTTTTTGACTTTGGGTGTTGTTTAAAATGCATTATATTTTGTATATTTCAGTGTTATTCGTTATTACTAACAGTTCCTATCAGTGATATCAAAAGCGATGTGATCCATTTGATTGTTTTTTTTTTTTTTTCATCTATATGTTTTCAGTGTGATATTAATTTGAACTGTAATAAAAGTTTTTTCTCGGGATCAATACAGTTAGTGAAATTCGAACAAATGATCGATAAGCTAAGTAAAGTTTGAACTACAAAAAAAAAAAAAAAATACGACGTATATTAATGAACCGAACTATTAAGATTAAGGGGATTGAATGATAGATTTGAGAGATTCTGAACCATAAAAAGTCCTGAGTAGACCAGATGATGACGATGAATCCTTTTTCAGTCTAGTAAACTGGAATAAAATGATTGAGACAGCTAAATCGTCTCGTGAATATTCTCTCATTCATGGGCAGTTTCATAATTTTTACTTTTAACGGAGGCATTTACTGAAAACTTCCGATATAAAAACAGGAAAGGAAACGAGATAGATTGATAGGAATAAGCGAATCTTTATTATCGAAATATCTATATGTTTGATATATGCATATATACTTTAAAAGTAGGCGCAAATAGGAGTATAGACATTTATGATATAAGGCCAAACAATATAAGCGGGCGACATATTAGAGGATAATTCTGGCTCAAACCGGAACAATTATTGGTTGGCCATATTTTACTTCCAAAAGTAATATACATGTTCATTTTTCATAATGCCTTTTATTGATTCTGCTCTCATATTATTATTGTTAAAACATGAAATTTACGAATGAATAAATGCTAAGAGTAAATTCATTAGTTAAATTTTGTCTCCTTTACTTTCCTAGTTTATGATTAAAATAATAAAGCACAACGAAGTATTGAATAGAATAGTTTTTACTTTATAAGTTAGAAAATTTATCGATTGGCTTATATTTTAAAATTTATATCAACAAATATAGCTAATGCTGAAGTTTAATCTGTAAAATATTTTATTAAATATTATATTGACCAATTATATCAAAATCATTTATCACACAATGCAAAATTATTTAATGTATATTTAATTATTTAATGCATATTTAATTTTTCAATATTTTATTTTAATATATTGAGTTTTTAATATTTTGAAAAAGTTCATAATATTTTATTTACCATTTATGATAGAATTACCATATTGGCTTATTAGGTTTAGCTTATTATATATTATTTTCATTTATTATTATTATTATCATTATTATTATCATTGTTATTATCATTATTATTATTATTATTATTATTATTATTATTATTATTATTATTATTATTATTATTATTATTATTATTATTATTATTATTATTATTATTATTATTATTATTATTA